CCAGATAAATTGCATGTGAATCTCCAGTCAGGTTTTTAAGCATGAGTCAGCACTGCTCCTCTCAAGTCAAGAGTGTGGTGATTTATCCCAGCTGAAATACTAGCTCATCTTTTTGTAAAGGTTAATCATCTTTTTGTAAAGGTTAAACTTCAAGCCTGTAGCTTTTCTCTGAACCCATGTACATGTAAAACACATTTGCTCTCTTGTAACTTACCATCCTGTTGCTCCTTGGAGAACTCGATCTGTTAGAAGGAAATCAATCACAAAAAACAACTTAGGAAGGGGGGGCTGGGGGAGAACCTGCTTGTTTTCTAAAGCATCCACGTCAATCCATGAGTCAAGTCCCAAAACAGCAAAAAAGTGTGGTCTGTCAGATGTGCAGAAGTAATGCAGATAGCAAAAGAGCTGTTAAGACTAGTGAGTTTTTAGCATTTGGAAGCGATTATGTCCTCCCTCCTTCCCCCATTGAAGTTTAACTTTTGTTTCACTTACCATTAATTTGGTCAGGAGTGAAGGACTGCAGTTGGGAAGAAAAAGAGAGAAAAGAACCAATACTGCTGAAAATGCACTGAGAGAAAGCAAATAGCACAAAGTAGCTGAGCACTCTCACCTCTGTCTTGCCTAATGTAATTAGGCCATGGCAAGCTAAACTAGAAACTTCCTTTGTAAAAGTGCATCACCAGATCTGTTTTTAAAGATTCCATTAAAATCTGCATCCCAGGGAAAGCCAGGGCAGTGGGTAAAAGCAACAAAAATCTCAAGTCTCTTAACTAACAAAGTTGTCAATGTACCATGGAGTCATTTACTGTTGTTAGTAGAGACCCATTTTATTAAGACCATTTGAAGTAATATTATTTTAAAAGCAGGTTTCTTAAATTAACATAAAATTGAACCAAACCCCTATAATTTGTTTTTCAAATTAATTTTTGACACAACATTCTTTATAAAGTACTAAACCATGATATTTTCTTATATAAAAGTATTGCTCTTTTCCTTTGCCACTTCAGCAGCTTCCATCCAATTTAAACAATCAAGTAGTAGACAGCACTAGCTAATAGTAGCCCTTCTGTCTGAAGCTACAGGTGCTGCAGATCTGCCCTTACCCCATGCAGAACTTGAGGCTAACTGGAAAACCTCCCACAGTCCTTGACCTTTAAGGAGGAAAGCCAAGCAAATTGAACTGTCTTCAGCACTGTCCTTCCCCCCACTAGAAATAACTTGAGCGAGAAGCCCAGTTTACTTCTGTGAAGTACCCTGACTTGCTGCTAACCATTAGTTTTTTGGTGGACCCACCATGGTTGAAAGTTGGAAAAGTTCAGCTGCAGACAGGCAGGAGGGACTAGCTGAGAGGTCTTGAGAGTGGTCCTGCTTTCTTGGCCTTTCTTCCCCTTATTTATCCAGTGGTGCTGACGGCATTGCCTGGATTAGGTGTCAGAAGGAAGGAGTCCCTCCCCTTGGCGAGTTCTTTAGCTTTCTTAGGGCAAAGTGACAGGAGGCTCCATGTCTTGATGGACGCCTTATGATGGCTATTTTTAGGAGGCTGGAGAGGCAGGGAGTGGTAAGCAGTAAGTTTGATCCGTGTCAGCACTTTCTGGGTCTGTTCTGTCAAGAGGGGATATTCCTTGTCCAAACCTACTGAGACTTCCCTGTAGGGAAGGATTCTATTTCTCCAATAAGCTAAGAAGTCAGCAAGCAAGATGTGCTGGGGGTGAGAGCTGCCACGTGTTGGTCCAGCTGGTTTTTTGTGTGGCTTGCAGGATGTGTTTGGTACAGCTGGATGGTCCTTCTACCTTTGATGGGTTTTTCTCAACCTCTTATGCCAATAATACAGCACTCGGCATTTGCTGCCTGTCTGCACAGTGTGATCCAGTTGTTGGCACTGAACAGATTAACCTGTTGATGGAGCTGATGTCTCATTGTGAAGCTCTTTCTCTGCACAGGTCATGTTTTCCAAGTTCGGAACACTTCCAGAAGAGAATTATTCATGCATTTTCATAGGATCATAGGATGTTTGGGGTTGGAAGGGACATATAAGATCATCTAGTTCCAGCCCCACTGCATGGGGTGGGACACTTCCCACTAGACCAGGTTGCTCCAAGCACCTTCAAGCCTGGCCTTGAACATTTCTAGGGATGAGGCATCCACAGCTTCTCTGGGCAACCTGGGCCAGAAGAAGAAGAATAATTTCTTCCTAAAGTCTAACCTAAATATTCCTTCTTCCAGTTTAAAGCCATTACCCCTTGTCCTGTCCCTCCGTGCCCTTATAAGAAGTCCCTCACCAGCTTTCCTGTAGCCTCATCAGGTACTGGAAGACCATCGTGAAGTATGCCTTGAGCCTTGTCTTTTCCAGGCTGAATGGCCCCAACTTTCTCAGCCTGTCTTCACAGGAGAGGTGCTCCAGCCCTCTGATCTTCATGGCCTGTTCTGGACCTGCTCCAACAGCTCCATTTGTTCTTGTATTGGGGGCTCCAAGAACTGGATGCAGTACTGCAGGTGGGGGGTTTCAGGAGGACAGAGTAGAGGGGGAGAATTGCTCCCTTTCAGCTCCAACTGAGTTGTTAGGATAACAGGGCAGTGGAATATTTGCATTCCCAGTAGCCTGTGCTCTCTAGGACACCCTTCCTCTAGGGCTGGAGTTCGATGAGCTCTGAAGCTGATACCCTGTGTGGTGAGAGGAAGTGCTGCTGAGGGATTTGTGATGTGGAGACAAAGGGCAAGCCATTATAGAAGCTAAGACCCCAAAAGGGTTTATGAACTGAAATTGGGACTGTTCATGGTGGAGAAAGGGGTTCTTTTTTCTTTTTTGGGGGGTTGCGAGTGGAAGGGTCGTGATGATGCAAAAGTAGCAAAGATTTATTCCCACCGTGTAGCATCCTCCAAGCCTAGATCACATCTCTGATTTGATGCTGTGAGACATGGTGAGCAGATTACAACACTTTGCTCAAAACTTGCTCTATTTTCCCTATCACCTCAATTTGTTCACGAGTGTCATGGTGCCAGGGTGGGAAAGGTGGTGTGATGGAAGACTCCCTGTTGCAAACGCAAATCTGTTCTCTAATTACTCCTTATTTCCTTTGCTGAATGTTCACTGCTCTTAGTTTTCTAATGTTAAAATGTGATTAGTGAGGGAAACTTTCTCCTTAGGTCACTTAGTTACCCTGAAGATTAACATAACCTTTGTGAAAGTATCTTTTCAGAACATTGAGGGCACTGAAAGAAGGAATCAAATCCAAGCAGACTTTACTGTTTGATTTTGTTGGTTTTGTGGTGTTTTTTTTTTTAAACTGAAAGATCAAAAAGGTCAAAATAATTGGTTATATTTGAGACATTAACCTCCTACCTCCTATTTTAAAAACAAAAGATACACTGCAAGGAGTTTTTTAAGCTTGCCACTTTAGCTGAAAAATAATCTGTCTAAACAGATTATTCACATTTTTTGGAGAAATATCTGGAAAATATACAGAGTGAGCAAAATACTTCACCACTAATCCTTCACTCTTGTTTTTCTGCTATTTGTGGTTTGTTGGCCTGTGGGAACAGGGGTGTGTTGAGGACTAAGTGAAGCCTTCATCAGGTGCAGTTGCATAGAGAAGGGGGGTTGATGCTTTTGTTTAAATTAGTTAACATAGGTCTAGCACGGTGCAGACCTCCTGATTAATACTGGCTGGGGCTCAGGCAGTGAGGAAGCTAATACAGATCTTGGCCATCAGTCCCAATGCATTGAGAGGACCTTTCTAAAGACTTTGGCAGAGCTGAAATGTTGTCTGGGTCAATGCAGTATGTTGCCTGTTGTAGAATTTTCCTTTTGCCCTCAGCCTCTTGCTCCTCAGTGCCTGCAGTTGAGAAATGTTCCTTGTAAAACAAGGTTTAAAATAAAAAAAAAATAAAGGAAAACTTTGCTTAATTTTCTCAAACTTTTTTTTCCTGATAAAGCTCTATGCTTTCCAGGTAAGTCTTATGATTGGCTAAAACAAAGTTCATCCCAAAATACTTGACATGTGATGCAGAAAATAATTGGGGCATGTTTGTCTTGAGCATGGAAAACTGATCTCTGGAGCAGCCATCTAGCTTGAATGGGCTGTCAAATATATAGCAATTGAGAGGGGTCTGCGTATAAACTGGTTTGATCTTTTGGCCATATGAGACTTTGGGCTGATTTTAGATGAGGAAGTACTGTAGCTCCACATCAGCTCTCGTTTTATTACTACTACTTTAAGAAAAGCTCATGCTGTAGAGTTTTGCTGGGGAGAAACACTGTACTATGGGCATGTTGAATTCACTTGAATCACCTGCTTTAAGCCAATAGGGTTTGTTGCAGCCTTAAAAGGCTACTTGCTTTGAGTGAGGGCACTTAAAAATGGCCTTGGTATAGAAAATATTTCCAACACTCCTCACAAGAAATGGAAATTAAGATGTCTGATTCTGTAAGGAGCTTTTATAACCTTCAAAAGGTAGAAAGAAGTATTTTGCAGTGATCTGACCTTTGTATTACTTGCATTGTCAGAGGATGTGGAGAGTTTCAGAGCTTTAGGGAAGAGGTTGAAATTTCATCAAGCTTGGTTTTGAAAAAAATGAATGACCCCCAGCAGAAAAAACGAAAAGATGAACGAGCTGCAACTCATGGAAAGACCAGGAGGACTTAGATTTCTCTAATTTGGCTTAAAAGTTATTTATGGGTAAATGTATTATCCATAAAGCTATCTGTGCCAAAGAAAAAAGGTGGTGTGATTGGGTTTTTTGTTTTGCTCTGCTTTTAAGTTTAAGGCTTTTCCTTGTACAATTCTGTTCCTCTTGTTGCTAGATAGAGGCATTTTGACCAGATCCCAGTTAAGCAGGGTTGGAGTAGATCACCAGCTGATAGTAGTCACCAGCTAAGCTGTGATCCCCTAATTCCTGGTGGGCACGGGGGACTGAGTACAGTTGTGCTGTATGACTGTAAATGTCTTGACTGGGTGAAAAGCCCTGGGAAAAATGCTGCTGGAAGTCAAAGCATTCAGCTGCCTCCATCTGCTTGTTACCCTTTGGGTGAGTTACACAGAAAGGAATCATCCTAGAACTGTATTAGAGAGTCACCAGATATTTCAAGGTAATGTCTCTGTAAAAGAGACTGAGTACATATCAAGTGTCTTGGAAAATCAGAGGAGAAAATGGGAGAGCCTTCTAGGATACTCACTGTATATTTAGCCACCTATTCAGGACTAGGGGGATTTTTTTTCATTTTGATTGGTGATAAACTAGGATT